CCCCCCCGCGGGTACTCAAAGCACAAACGCCGCCGACGACACGGCAGGTGCGCATGGTGCAGCCACCACCGTCCCCGTAGTCATGCTGTGCGGCGCGCAGGCGTGCGGGTGGGTTGCCTACTCGCCCGGCGGACCTGCAGCCCTAACAGGGTTTTAACGAAAAAGAGTGCATGCGAGTGTTTGCCGCGCTCAGTGAGTGAGTAAGTGGGAGAGAGGCGACTGACAGGTGAGGGGGGGAGGGGAGCCGTGCCCGTGGAGCTGCCCAGCCAACTAGCACCTCCCGCACCTCCCCCGCCCACCCACCGCACGCCGCGCCGGGCCAGACTGGCGTGCGCGTCAAAGACAAGCAAACAGCCTCCTCCTCTGCCCCGGCGGCGGTGGGTACTGACATGGTGGCGGGCCGGGTCAGGGCAGGCGGGCGCGAACCGTTGAGGCCGTGTGCGCTGTGTCCATCCTCGATCAGGCGGGCAGCACACGGTAAACTGGGCCGCGCGCCGCCGGGGCGTAAATAGTGAGGCCGGCCTGTGTGTATCCGCGCGAATAGCCCGCGCGCGCAGCTTATAGGGCCTTGGGGTGGTCAAGGGGTCGTGCGGCCAGCGCCGGCCAGCGGGGACGCGGATGCGCAACAGCCCCGCGGACACTCCTCCCCACCCGACTGACCCCACCCTTTCCCGTTTACCGACTCGATAGCGAGTTCATTCGACGGTCTACTCCGAGAGGATGAGACCCTCTGTGTTGTGCGTACGAGCTGCTCCTGCAGCCTATCGGCACATCGGCACGACCTTGAGTGAACGTGCTCGGGAAGAATGACTTCGCTCCCACCGCGGCCACCCGCCGCGGCCGTCGTCGCCGCCAGGGCGTCCGTCCGGCCCGTGGGGAGACCCGCAGCAGGCCGCCCAGCACTCGTCATTAGTTCAGCCCGCACCGGGCTGGGCCCCGCGTGTGTTTTCGGACTTTGGACCGAAAAGTGTACAGTGCGGTCCAAATCAAATCTCTAGCGCGCTGCGCGCCGGGCCGGCCAGCCGGCCACCAAGGTCGCCGCGGCCGCGCGCGCAGCACGCTAACTGGACAATCTCCACGGGCGCGAGCTGGCCGTCGCCCGCCGCCAATGAGCCCCACTCTGCCACGGATGGCACGATGGCAGGCAGATCCAGGGCCTTGTTTGCCTGCGCCCTGAGAGCGGCGCCACTTAAACATGTGGAGGGCGGCCGTAGGTGTTATCTAATCTCATAAAGAGTACGTAAGGCAGATTCGTTCCGCGCGAAGAGACCAAGAGACGCTGAATTAGAGACCAGGGGCGGGTAGGGCGAGGGGATGACATAATTTGGACAAAAATAACGACATCAGGTGGGGAACCACACTGCGATATGCATCTGCCGAGTAGGAGACCCAGAGCAGGTGACGCCGACGACGGAGAGACTGAACGAAATGCAGGGGGCTGTTGAACGAACTATCCGAGATCGAGGGAGGTGCGGTTCAGGGTTCAGCGGTCCAAATTTAAATTTGGGTTCGTTCTCTTTGTCTCATCCCGCGGGTGTGACGGGGGCCGTGACACAACAGTCATCACCCTGACGGACGGAGATGCAGACTGCGGGTGCCGCGCGGCTCCGCTCGGACAGGGGCGGGAGCGGGGAAGGGAGAGGGGCTTTGTGACAACTTCAGCCTCAGCCGCCGCAGTAGAGAGGACCACCGTGACACACGCACGCACCCGCACACACACACACACACATACACACACACACAGAGCCAAGCCCCACGGTGCACGGCGCTGCATGGAAAACTTGTAGTGCAGTGTATAGAGGCATGGAGGCATGTAGGATGCCTTTGGGGTCGAGTCTTTAAGTACTTGAATATCCCCAGTTGAAAAGGACGTTGCAGTCGAATATATCTCTTTTCGTCAGGAGAGAGGCGTTGCACTGTGACTGGGGTCACGGTCCTGCACTCCCGTGTCTCTGTCTCTCTCTCACACACACACGCACACAGAGACGTAGTACATACTGGTGAGCTAACGGGACGCATACGCATGGGGGCGCGGTGCCGCGGCTCTAACAAAGTTGGCACATACATGCACAATGTTCATCCGCAAAGAAGCAAACGAGAAGGTGGGGGCAAACATTGACATATGCGCCCCTCCGAGCCCGCGTGCAGGCCCGGGAGGGGAGGGGGGAGGGGGGAGGAGTCAGTGGGGACACAGAACGAGATGAGAGACATGTGACTCCTAACTACTGTACCGTTATCGCGGCCTCATCGCAGAGGGGATATGGAGGGAAGGGGGGAAAGTTTCTATGGCCGGGAATGATTTGGGTGTGAACGGTAGTGTATGAGCTCACGATCAACGGCATGTTTCTTTCGAATAAATCTGATGACAAAAGTTCACTCACCTCACGATGCCGAGGTGGCCGGCGGTGGCCGCCTGCATGAGCGGCGTGTCGCCGGACCCCGCGTAGTCCGGCTCGTCCGGGTCCGCGCCCTCGGCGAGCAGCCTGTCAACGGAGGCCTGGTCCTGGCGGAACACGGCGCAGTGCAGGGACGTCACCTGCTCCGGCGCGGGGTACTCCAGGATGTCCGGGTCGGTCTCCGGGGACGGCGTCAGCGGCTCAACGGCGTCCAGCAGCGGCGCGCCGCGGTCGGGCTCTCGGTCCGCGGCCTCCGCGGCCTCCTCCATCGGCTGCCCCGGCGGCGTGCACCACCACGGCAGCCCTCCGTAGCAGGCCGCCCCGTCGTCCTGGCCGATGAACCGACGCAGCACACGCTCATCGTGATCCTGGACCGCGACGCCGACGTCCTCCTCCTCCTTGGCGTCCGGCACATCGCCGTCGCCTCCGCCGGGCCAGTCACCACGTCCGCCGAGAACCACCGCCATCGGCGCAGCAACAACATCTGGCCGCGGGTGGCAGGGCTGTCAGGGCGTCGGGGCGCGGCGGGGCGCAGCGGGGCGCGGTGGGGCG